CTCTGGTGCTTTGGTGAATAACCTGGCCCCGTCTGCCTTTGACAGCCCATCAGATACTGGAACACTGCTATCACGTCTCCCCTATTTCCTCTTTTCTTTAGACTAGCCAAACCCAAGTCCTGCAGCCGTTCTTCATATGTTTTAGTGTCCAGGCCTTTGATCATCTTAGTTGCTTTTCTCTGAATTTTTTCCAAAGTCTCAACATTTTTTTTGTGATTTGGTGACCAAAATTGGCTGCAGTATTCCAGGTGTGGCCTCACTAGGGCTTTATAAAGCCACTTAGCCCATCAAGCAATTGTACACACACAAACTCTGCAAACATTCACCATGTTTTCTAATCAATGATTACAATAAATTGGTACTCAGATATCAATAAATTGCTACTCTGCCTTTACAGCTACCACTTTTGCTTGAGACCAGTCCTGCTCAGAAATCTCCCACGATGGGTGACTTTGGGTTTCAATGTGAGGAAACGGCATGGAAACTGAATTGGCTTGTTTTAGGGGCACGCATATCCATGTTTTACCTAAAATGTATACATTCCCTTCTGGAATAAGATCCAGACCAAATATAGAAACATCCTGAATGTTTTTATCATTAGTTACGTTTTGGTTAGTTTCGAATTTCATCCTTCTCAACTGACATTCCATTACTGCACTACTTGGACTTCTAAACCTAATTTCCGCCTGGCATATTTGTTAGTCCTTCCTGCAGAGATGAAAGCAAAAACAATGTTCACAAGAGCAACAACAGAAGGAAAGCATTCTAGGCTAGATTAAAAATTGTGCCCTGCCTCCATCATTTCCGCCCAGGCTCCCTTCTGGTGCTGATCTGGCCTTGGAGATTTTGAACAGAATCGCCGTCCAGCCAACAGAACCAGACTTGGGTGAACAACATCCAAGCAAATGTTGCGTTTCCACTGGAAGAGCAAGAAATGAGTGGGAATATTTTGGATAACCCTGTCAATCATCTCAGGGATGCTCTCTCTTTCTCTCTTGCATTTGGGCCATACAGGACCCTCTGCAGGAGCCGAGTGGGGAGAGGGGTCTTCTCTATAGCCCACCCGCCCTTTGGAAAAGTCTCTCCCAGGATTTGGGATTTGGCCGGCCTTTGCAAGGCACGGAGGGCTTGGTCCAGAGAAGGCTCCGATCCTTCTGGCTGAATCCCACCCCCACCCCCACCCTCAACGCACTTGTCTTTATTTCCCAAATTACTTGTTCATTATGTCATTTGATATGGATGAATCTATTTCCTGGGCATTTTAAATGGCTGATTGGGAGTATCACATTTTATTTCTTCTATCGATTTTGGCCATTGAAGACCCAAGTATTTGCATCACTAGACGGAAGAAGGCTTGAAGATTTGCTATTTTTCACCATGGATATCTTCGTGTTTAATTTAAATGGGTACCTGCTTTCTCTTCCTCCTTTGGGGACAGAAGTTAGCAAGGAAACCATGTGGCCGTCTTTAGCCAGTGGGCTGCTCCCAGGGAGGCTTCCACCCTCCTGTAGGAGACGAGCAGCCTCCAAGAGTGACCCCCCTCCCATCTCCAGCCCAGCCTCTGCTGCTCTCTCACCCTCTTCAGCGGGGGGGGGGGGGCGCAGTGCAGATGCTCCGTCTCCAAACAGACCCACTCAGCCGGTAGCTACCTGCACGTCTGTCTCCCACAATTAGCCTTTTGGAACTCAGCTGAAACCCTCTTCAGGCACTCCTGCTTCAGGGGAGGAAGCTACCTCAGCCTCTGAGTCGTCTCAGCCGCTCTGCCCACTGGCTGTCTTGCTTGGGGCAGTAAATGTAAGCCAGGGAAAGTTGTGGTTAATGTGAGTGGACCATTTCAAATCTTGAATAATTAGGAGTTATTTCAGAAAAGATAGGTACCATTTAAAGAAAACTAATTATTCCTCTCTTCTGAACAAAATTAAAACTGAAGTTAAATCATAGCAAAGTTCATTATCAATTCTATTTCTAAACCTTTCTAATTCTTGGTAGAATTATTATTTGAAATGAGTTGATACAAGTAGTCTGCTTTAGTTTCAAGCATTTTTAATTTCATTGCATACTGCTTGGTCTAACAGGCAACATTGTCACATTGTTGAGTTGGGTGTCCACGGGATGTCAGCCTTGGCTCTTCCCTAACCCCAGATGCTGGCCAAGACATGGGGAGATCCAGGTTCAAGTCCTCCCAGAGGTGTGGGAGACAGAGGTTCACCTTAGTCAACCCTCCACTTAGCCTTGTCAGGCTGAAAACAAAATATTGTATCCTGTGCTGATAGCTTTGCTCTAGGAAGTGAGTTGAAGTATGCACAGTGCAAAACAAGTGGACCTCGCAACCAAGCCAAACCAACTGCTATATATTGCTCATTTCCTAAGGTGTATAAATCAACGAAGCAATTGATTGCATTGGTCCGTGTGGATTTGTTATCACAAGATTCCAGCAAATCAAAGATGCATTGGATCAGTGCTATTTAAAAAGGGGAGAAAATTCTCTGGTTGAAAAAGTAATATGAGAACAGGGAGCTCTGGAAGACCACAAAGAGGTATAAATACATTAAGGCTGTGTGTGAAACATCAAAGGGGTGCTTGGATTTGAGTTGTGAGTGAATCATGGCCTCAAGGGGAAGTGAAGGGAGGACGCAGCTCTGGAGCTCTTCAGAGTCCTTGGAAAGGTTTCAGGGGTTGCCAGATACTTCTTGGGTGGTACAGATGGTATCGAATGTTACAACTTCTGTTCTCCATCTGGAGTTTAGTGAGTTGCACCTGATTAGTTGGTCAATGAGTTGAACCAAGTCTCTGCCAGGGCAGCAAAGCCTTGGAGTGTCCTGCTTGTGGTTCCTTTTGTGCAATGGACAATGTTGCAACTGGGAGTCAGATGGTCCCTTCAGGCTACAGAGCCCATCTCCATCCTCACTTTCTACCCGTGGTAAATGCCGATATTCTCCTCTTAGGTGAAGGTCTTCCATGTCCTTGCAAGGCACTCCAGGCTTTTAAAGGTCCTCTGCAACTCCGACATTCACCCCATGATAAAGTTTCCATTGTCTCAAAGGCTCTTAACGTCTCCCCTGAATTGCTGCTGCTTTTTGCCTGGCCTTTCCCTGGATCACCCAATGAGATTCCATCCTTTGCTTCCGTGAACCCTTTGCGGATCTGCCCAGTGCCCCCTGGGGCAAATGCTTGGCCGGTGAGGGGCTGAATCCCAGCGGCACCTTCCAAGGTGTCTGCGGGTTTTCCCTCTGCTGAGCTGAACCCCACCCAACCTCCCCAAAAGTTCACGATGCCCAACAATGACTTTAAGTGGTTCCTCTTCTGAAATTGTGTCCTCAAATTCCCATTTGCACACATCCATTGTGGCTGGTTGACCTGCGGTGACTACACAAAGAGTCATATGGGCCACTAGGAGTTAAACTCTACTATCCCTTTTCTCCTAAGAGTTTGCACGGCTCCTTTTCCAGAGCAAACTCTGCAACAGTTTCTATTATGAATAGTTGTAAAAGTGGCTAATTCAGTTCTGGCTACTGGCAGCATTTCCTGAACGGTGCATTTCTCTCCAGGGGGTTCAGGCTAGGGCAGTTTGAGGCATGTTTTGGGCAGGGAGGAGGGTCAGCGGTCAGTGAGAGTCTAGGGTCCCTTTAAGCCAGGGAGGGCATTCCTAGCCATCAAGCTTTTGAAGTCTCTGCCTGGCAAGGAGGCTTTGGGGGTCTCTCTGGGGGCCGGAGTGGCAGGTTGCCCATGCTGGGTGCACTAACTGCTCCCCTGGGGATTTGGGCACGGGGGTCCCGGCCCAGAGGAGGCCTGGCTGGCCAGTTGGGGGCCTGAGGCAGGAGGGCAGGTCTGCTGCCTCTCTCCCCTTGTCAGCGGAGCCAGGTTGGGCCGAGGACTCTTCCCAGCCAGCTCCGTCTGTCTTCCGCTCACCGGGCTGGAAGGGGAGCTCCCGTCCGGGGGGCAGGAAGGGCTCCTTTCCGACTCCGAGGCAGAGGGCCGGGAGGCGGCCTTCGCTCGGGGCTGCCCAGGAGGCCCCCGGGGGGGAGGGGACAGGCGGGCATCTCTCCCCAAGTGCTGAGGGGGGCATTTCATGCCGGGGGGGGGGAGCCGGGGCGGCTCCCGAGGCAGCAAAGCCGAGATGCCCGGGAAGGAACTGCTGAAGGACCGGGCCGAGTTCAGACGATTATAGGACACCCGGAGCTTCTGGCTGAGGGAAGCTTCGGCGCCCGCAACTGACGCCGGCGGGGCAGGGGGGAAAGGGCCGCGGGGACCCCGCCTGCCAAGAGGCCCTGCTCGACCGGCGCCCGGGCCATCCGCATCTCGCCGCCGTCCCCGCCGGCCAGTCCGGGCAGCAGGGCGCGCGGGACCGGCGCGGGTCTGGGGCGGCGCGCAGGCCTGCTCTGGGCTGGCGGCGGCGGCGGCGGCGGCGGGGCGGGGAAGGGCGGGGAGGGGAGGGGAGCGCCGGCCGCCCCTGCCACACAGGCAAAGCTTCGTGGCGCCCGCCGCCCCCGCCTTCGGAGCGGAGGCGGGGCTGGGGGCTTCCCTCGCCGCGATTGGCCAGGGCCCCCCGGATTGGCAGCTCGGCCCCGTCGGCTTGACGCGGGGAAAGGGGAGCGGGCGAGGGGACCCGAAAGTTTCGCGGGGCAGGAAAGCGGGGCGAGCGCACTTTGGCGAGCGGCGCCCCGGAAGAAGGTCGGGCGAGGGAGCCGGGAAGGAGGCGGGGAAGAGACGCCGAGGGGGGCAGCCAGGCGCCCGGACCTCCCCGCGCAAGCCGAGCCCCGAGCCTCTCCAGCCGCGCGCCGGGCCAGCAGGCAGCGCAGGGAGAGCCGCCGCCGCCGCCGCCGCCGCCCAGCCCCAGCCGATGGCCGCCTAGGAGGGTCCTGCCGGGGGCGGAGGGGAGGGAGGCGTCCGCTTCTTAGTCCGAAAGCCTCCCGCCGCGCCCGCCGGTGTCGGGAGAAGAGCCGCCCGGAGCGCCGCCGTCCCGCTTTGCGCCTCGCCCGGACAAGCCGCGCGCCGCGGAGATGGACGCGCACACCCGGTGGAAACGGCGGGGCTGGCCGAGCCGGCCCGGGAGCCTGGCGCTGCTCCTGCTCGCCGCCCTCGCCCACAGCCGCGCAGGTAAGAGCGCCCAGCATCCCCGCCGGGCTGGATGCCCGGCCAAATTTATGCATTCGTCTTAGGCGACGGAGAAGAAGGGGGGGGAGCAGGGTGTGAGTAAAGGTTATTTAACAACGGACAAGCTTTGTTCCCCCCGCAACAGTCTCGCACTTTGGAATTGCTTCTTTGTGGCGTTCAGCATCTGTGCCGGTGGCTGCAAACTTTTTCCTAGGAGCAGTCTGAACTTTGCAAACGGGGATGAACTTCGTCTACGACGCCCCCAGGTGCTGCCTCTGCGCCTCGGTGGGGACCGGCGCTGCCCTCCTTCTTCACGCGCGAGCGGAGGCGGCTCAGACGCCTGTCCCGAATGGGTTTTCATCGGGCCGCGCTGCCGTTCACCGAAAACGGCTCCCAATATTCATTTCCTATCTGCCCCCCAGGAGGGATGATAACTGGCACTCAATTCCCTTGTTGGGTTTGGATTGAAGGTCTTTTTTTAATTTACATTTTAAAGCTAATGTGAGCTGAAAATGCTCACATATATCACTGTTAACGGTGGTTCTTAAGCTTCATGCCGTATTTCTATACTAACATAGCAAAATCGGCCAAGCATGACATGTTGTAGAATACCCAAGTGCTTAAAACAGAGAGAACCAACCTTAAAAAAGGATGGAAATGGAAGTGAACTGGGAAAATACAGCACGTTTGCTTGTTTATTCTGAGGCTGGCATTGAAAAAAGTTTGGGGTTGAGATAATTGGGTGAAAAGTTGGGAATTAAAGAAAGTTCTCTGCACTTTGTGGAAAATTAAGGACTGATACCAAGGGGAGGGGGCAGTTTCCCAAACCGGAACCTCTGAGCAGCAAACAGAAGAACCGCAGCCCCTGGGTCTTCTGGGCAGGAAGTTTGTATGTGCATCTTCGCTACCGTGGCACCAAAACTTTACCCAGCGTGCCAGAGAGAGATGCACGGGGCTCCGTGCCAGTGGAATCCCTGTTATGGCTCACTCAAAGGTTGGCAATGCCACTCAGCTTTGCAAGCAATGGCAGCTGACCTCATGCTGGCATCTCTGTCCCAAGAGCTGAGCAGTCGGGTTGCTTGCCGCTGGCCAGCTCTCTCTTTGTGTTTTGCGAGAGAAGCTGCAACCCAAGAAGCTGCTTTGAAGATCCGACTCCAGAGAGTTTTTGCAAGGGTAAATGGCCAACCCCCCAAAGGATCTCCAGAACTTTGCCATAAAGTGTTGCAGTTAATACTTCTTTAATATAGACAGTTTCATCTGAATCAAGAGTTTCCCTTCCAAGTGGGTTGTGTATAGATTCCATTAATTATTTAGAGTTGGCGATAAAATAAATGCTTGCCAAGATAAAATAAATGCTTGCCAAGAAAAGGACGTCTTTCAAAGCAATTAAGTGGTTTTATGCTGTTCTTTAAGCCAAGGACTGCCAGCTGCCAGCTTTCTGGAAGGCTACGGACACAGTCACCATAACCATCTCCTCCCCCCCTCACCCCCCCATGGCTGCAAAGGCTTGGCTATTCTCTGCCTCCTCACAGAGGGAGAAACCGCTAAGAGCCTCCAGGTGGCTTCAGGTGTGCCGCAGTTCAGGGAAACATGGAGATGCCAGCTAGTACCAAGGCCTCTGGTCTGAGCGTGCCCGGCGTGTCCCACTGTTGCACCATTTGGGGATCACAGGGTTATGGTGGGAGCATCGGCACCTCTTCTTGCACCTGGTGGTATTGTGACTGCCCCCTTCAAAAGGAGAGAGGATTTGTGTGATTTCCCCCATGACTTCATCGGGCTTAATCACGCTCAAAGGTCTGAGCTCAGGTATCATCCTGCAAGAGACTTTTTTAAAATTTGGGATCTCGTTCACGAACAGTCCTTGCCTTAAGATTGGGAAGCCCTGTTTTGTGGGGTTTATGAGGTCTTGAATTCATTACCTTGCATGTCATGTGGATTTGGCTAATGGAATTTCACCCTGATGAGGGATGAGTGTATTAATAGAATAGAATAAAGCTGGAAGGGACCCTGGAGGTCTTCTAGTCCGCTTGAGACCCTAGACCAGGGGTGTCAAATGCCGGCCCATGGGCCGGTTGCATCATGTGGAGGCCGCGCGCACCCACCCCGGCTTCGGCAATGTGAAAAAAGTTGCGATACGTCACGTGACGCGGCGAGTTTGACACCCGTGCCGTAGAGGCCTAGACCAGGGGTAGGCAACCTCGGCTCTTTTATGACTCATGGACTTCAACTCCTAGAATTCCCGAGTCAGCATAGCTGAGCTGAAGTCCATGAGTCATAAAAGAGCCGAGGTTGCCTACCCCTGGCCTAGACCATTTCAGATATCATCCATCAGTCTGATGAAGTGAGACGGTGAGGCAATTGAGGCAGCAGCTCTTGATGCGCCTTTTGCCCTGGCAGGAAGCGGACCGAGCTCTTGGGGATTGGGGTGGGCAGCAGGCCACCTTCCATCTTGCCCTGGAGATGAACCACAGCTGCCTTCCCACAAGAGCCATCGAGAGCGTTTAATTTGCCAGGCCTTGTCCCGTCTTTCCTCCAAGAGACGGAGTTCAGGAGGTTAGCGCTGGCTATGCCTGAGGCAGCCCAGGCAGCGAATGAGAGACAGTGATAGATTCCATCCTGGATCAAAGTTGGGCAGGGATCCCAGCTTCCAGGGCTGATGGCCTGGGAAGAGATCAGGCGATGATCTGGATGGGATGGGTGGGAAGAAGCTTTTCCTGCCCTGACATTCCTGCCCTTTGCCCTCCTTGGAGGCCTCTGGCTGGATCTGGAAAATCTTGGAGAAGGAATTCATTCTGGAGTGGACGTCAGGATCCATTTTGCATTATACAACTCACACCAGAGATTTCAGAGCGCCAGAAGTTGTTTATTCTGGAGCTGGTGAGTGCTCTTTTGGAATGGATGAGCGGCCCCGCCCGGCCCCGGAGTGCCTGGCTCAAGGCCGTCCAGCAAGTCTCCCAGATGCGTTGGGGGTTGAGCCGGGGGGGGCTGCTTTTCTGCAAGAAGCCTGCCCCCCTCTCAGTGCAGCAGCTGGCTCCAGGCCTTCCCCCCCCCCCGATCAAACAAAATGTGTGATGTAATAGTTTTGCGATGACTTTCCATATTTCCACCAGTGAAGTCAGGTTGCATCATGGCTCTTCGTCTGCCAGATCCTGCAGGGGGGAAGAGAAGAAGCAGCTGCAGGAGAAGGCCCTTTGGCTTTGGAAGGCAGTCATGCAGCACTCTTTCCCCCCACGCCACGGCTGCACTGCTCCAAATTCTGGAATTTTCCAGCGATTCTGGCCTGAGTGGAGATTCTCAGTCATCCAGGTCATGGTTGTCCCAAAGGGGCTTTTTCACGAGGCAACTGGACTTTCTTTTTCTCTCTCTCTCAAGACGTTTCGCTTCTCATCCAAGAAGCTTCTTCAGCTCTGACTGGATTCCATTCCCCTCCATCCAGTCAGAGCTAAAGAAGCTTCTTGGATGAGAAGCGAAACGTCTTGAGAGAGAGAGAAAAAGAAAGTCCAGTTGCCTTGTGGAAAAGCCCCTTTGGGACATTCCAGCCTGAGGTACCAGGGGCTGCTGCAGTGATCCCCCAGGGACCCCCTCGGGTTGGTGGTTCTCCTGCAGGGGATGGAGCGGATCCTGCGTTTGGAGGGCCCCACGCGAGCAGAGCTCCAGCATTCGCTGCCGTGAAGAGAGCGGCGTGGTAGTGTTTGATCCCAGGCAGACCGCGGGCATCGGAAGTAGATTTAGTGGCATTTGCATAAACTGCCTTTGCTGCATTCAGGCCAGCTTGAGAAAGAAGTGGAACGAGAAGAAACAAGGCTGGTTTTCTTCTTTGTGCTCCTGCTGTGTGCCAGAAATCCAGATGTGGGAGATGAAAGGCTGTGAGCAGGCGTGGACGTGACCTCATACTCAGGAGAGGCGATGTTGGCAGGATAGTTGCCATTATCCAAGGCCCCTCAGCTGCTTTGGCCTCGGGAGCATCGTACAGCAATAGTCAAGTGCACGCAGCTTCCATGAAAAGCAGCTGGCCAAAATGTTTTCTAAGGTGGCTGCAGGAGAACGTGCAGACCAAGATCTTGGTCAAGTTAAGCTTGCCTTTCTTAGATAAAAATGTTTGTGGGTGTGGGTGTCTGCGTGTGTGGGTGTCAGAAGAGCTGCTACAGTCACTGCCTTGAGGCTGTTGAAAGAGATACCTGGGAAACGGGGTCCTGTGAATGGAGTGCAGCAACGATTAGAGGCCGTGTTTGTCCACTGGGTCTTTCAGTCTAAGCTCTTCCAGGGAAAGCAGGTGGAGTCCCCAATTCGAAATGCTGAGCTGGAACATGAATTATAGCCTTACCTGGAAGTGATGCAGTTAACTTTGAGAAAAGCACCGATGATGTTGGTATTGGGGGTCAGCAGGCAGAATTCCCAGCAGCCTCTGCTTATTGTGCTTGTAGTTGCCAACCTCAGAGTGAGAAGGCGACTGGCTGGCATAAAGGGTGGAGCTGCTGGCACTCCTCAAGTGGCTGTTCAGGAGATGCTTTATAAAGTCTGGGTGATTTTACAGGAGCAGGAGCTGCGGGAGGGGGCTTCTGTCAGATGTGAAAGACCAGGTCCACATGTGAAAGTTCAATTAACTGATTTATTACTACTCAGGCCTCTGCACGGGAATTCTACACTACTGGTCGGCACCTAGTTAGATAAGGGTCTGTGGCACTCAAGGGAGGTTGGACCGGGTTCTCTTGTGGCTATGTAGGGATTGGAGGCTGATTCCTCTTTTGACTCCGCCCCCCAGGTTCTGCCACCCTTTCTCCTACAGCTTCCCAGGATGTGCATCCTGCCCTAACCCCAGTGTGGACCTTACCATGAATGGCATCTTAAATGCAGGGCAAAGCGGTTTTCTGTCCTGTGCTGTATTTGTAAACAGAAGTAGCTGAACTCTCTGTGACATTTGCTTTCAAGTAACAAGCCCACTCACAGTTGCTTTCAGTGGGCATGCATGTACAGCTGTCGATGCTCTTGGGCAGCCTCCACCA